AGGTGGAGAGAGAAGGGGGAATTGTCATTGGTCTTGCTGGTGCATATCTTCTTCTTCTTCTTCTTCTTCTTCTTCTTCTTCTTCTTCTTCTTCTTTCTCTCTCCTCTGGTCTTTATCTCTTTGCAAGTGATTTCATTCCTTTCGCAATTGGGTGGCACTGTCTTTCATTGTGAATTTGCACTTGGGAAATGACCAGGATCGTAACAAATCAAAAACAAAGTTCAAAAATATAGTCGTCGATGCTTAACCACAACCGGGGTTAAGGTGGATTATCACTTACAGTGTAATCAGTTAGGGGATTCTGCAGATTGTTGAGGGTTCAGCCTCCTGATGCGTCGGTGAAACTCCGACGAAACAGTTTGTCACAGCCCCTCTTTTGTTGCCCTCTTCTCCCTCCGTCTCTGCTGCCTGGTAAAACGTAGGCAGAGAGGGAGGGAGAAGAGGGGGGGGATCCGGCTGGGGTACCTGCCCGGGGGGAGGATCCGGCTGGGGTACCCCAGCAACACCAAAGGGGGGTTAATGTTTCTTTTTTCTCTTGGCAGTGGGGCAATTTGACACCCACTGTGCCCAAGTCCAGCCTTACCTTTGAATTTGGTGGTGTCTCACCTAATGGTGTCGATCGGGTATAAGTGGGGTGCGAAGAGGCTTAAAGGGGCTTAAACCACCAGTACCTTTCCCATATGTCTGCTGTGGGCACTGCGCGCCGGCCCGAAAATCAAGACTCGATTCGATTCATCGGCGGTCGCCCTTCCGTTTCAGGCCAGCGCATTACCCGGCATGCCTCATAAAAAATAGCTGGGAAAGGTACTGGTGGTTTAAATGGGCTTAAAGGGGTGTGAATCCGTGTGATATAGCTTAATGTTTTGTTTTCATTTTTATTTCAAATTTCATAACGAATTTCTGGATGACCTCCAGCCAAACGTTGTTTGATTTGCCATTGTGCATGGCATAGTTGTTTTTCAGTTTTTTTTTTTTTTTTTGCACTGGAGCTGTCCAGGACCTTGGCCGGGCCAGTCTGAGGCGACCCGCGCAACCCGGCTGGTAGCCTAGTGTATAAGACATTTCCTTGCACATTTTTGCACTAAACATTTCCGTTATCCTTCTTTGTTTTTCCTTTTTTTTTCTGAAAAGATACGCGCCACGTCCATTGTAGGGAGCAGCAGTCCGGTTTCAATACTCGCACACACTTCTCTGGAGTAGGCTGAGAGAACCATAGCCACTGCTGCCACTGTCGAGTAGGGCAGTGGAAGCCCCCTGGTGCCAAAGCAGTAGCTTGAGAGAGAGAGAGAGAGAGAGAGAGAGAGAGAGAGAGAGAGAGAGAGAGAGAGAGAGAGAGAGAGAGAGAGAGAGAGAGAGAGAGAGA